ACACTCCCGTGGAGAGGCTCAGTGCCCTCGGTAGTGTGTCGAAAAGGTGACGCACTCTCTCTGTTTGAATCAGAGTCACCACCAGGCCTTGAGATTTTTTTCCATACATATATTATTTTTCAGAAAACAAAAGATCTAAACAATTTATTCTAAAACCGACACGCCTTCACTGTCATCCTTTTCAGTAGAGCAAAGATAGAGTCCATCTCGGCTCCGTCTCACCCCATGTGACGGTTTGTACACTATAAATCTTTGAGTGTGACATGACTGGAAAGCAAGTCGGTCATGATGCTGAGTGCTAAAACATACAAGCATCTGGTCTGTGTGTATAGAGAGGTGGTCGGGGAACGATGAATGATGCAAACTGGAAAAGTGGTCAACAGACACCCAACAGTTCCTCCTGCGTTAGCTACTTCAAGAGTATTTACTATAAAGGAGGTCAAGTGCAAACCGGTAGCTTCCCCCTGTATCTATTTCTGCTCTCTGCCGCTCTGCACTGCTCTGCCCTCTTCGGTCCACATCACTTACCTCCGCACAAAAAGAGGTCAGGCAGAAATCAGCCGTCTCTGCATGTTAGCGAAACAGTTTCCTCCTGCTCTGCATCCTCTCCACACCCCGTGGTCTCCGCTAGCAACAGTTTGTTTAGCCGGACGTAACACTTGGTCAGCAGAATGAACGTTTCCTGTGCATATGTGCAGTTGTGTGCGTGTGTGTGTGTGTGTGTGTGTGTGTGTGTGTGTGTGTGTGTGTGTGTGTGTGTGTGTGTGTGTGTGTGTGTGTGTGTGTGTGTGTGTGTGTGTGTGTGTGTGTGTGTGTGTGTGTGTGTGTGTGTGTGTGTGTGTGTGTGTGTGTGTGTGTGTGTGTGTGTGTGTAGCTGGCAGCGGTTCCTATACTCTTTCAGCGGTGGCCCTAACAGGATAGTTTGTCTCATGCTATGTTGGAGGAAGTCTCACCATCAATTATAGATTCTGCTGACTGGGTCGGAAAAGCTTTTGCGTCCTACAAACGTTCACATACGCACATACTGTATATTTGAGATGGTTATTTAGAGAGCCTAAATGTCGTCAGAACTTTTAGATTCTATATCTAGAGGGACAGAAACATATTTTTAAATCTGTTTGACATTTGACAGAGGGAGTGACGGATTATATGTAAAGGGATTAGTCAAAAAATGAATTCTATTCCTTTACAGTTACATAAAAAAAGATGTAATCAGATTACTGTTACATTTCTACACATTGGGGATTACTAGAAGGATTACAATGTTGCTAAAAAAGAGCATATTGTGTTTGTTGTAAAAGGATGAGATTTGATTTCTTCTTTGTAAACTGTACTGTTCTGTAGGCTAATCCTTTAAGTGTGAACTATACGCCTACTGCCTGAATCTGCTCTATGGTTTTCACTTTCTTTGGTTTGTTAGTTCATTTTGTATTCAGTAGGTCAATCTATATATTCATAAAATAGTGTGTGAGCTTAACTGTATGTATAAATATATTAAAAACGGCGCAGCTCAAATTTGATTTCTGCTTATTTGAACTGTGTAAGTGCTCATGTGTTTCATCGTTGGTGTACAGCCTGAATAACGAAAGGCAGGTTTTCCTATAAATGAAATCTCCGAGCAGAGGACACATTTTTGATCCTAAATATCTTGGTTTCTTTTTTTTACTAAAGTCACATTGTGCTGCTGTTTTACATAATACACTTAAAGGGGACCTATCATGCAAAATGCACTTTTGTACGTCTTTTATACATGAATATGTGTCCCCGGTGTTCCAGGGAACTCACCAAGTGTCAGAAAACACAACCCTCTCTATTTTCCTCCATACCCAAATCTCTAAAAAAAGGGGCTGCAATGGATCTGATAAAAACTGATCCAGATTTGAACACTGTCCTGACGTCAGGACAGTGGCGCTACGGCTATTGGGCCAACTCCACCAATCAGGAGGAGACAGCCACGGCCATTGCCGTTCGAAAGCGCTGGAGACGCTGTAGTACATATGCCAGGCCTGTAGGTGGTGCTGTTCTCACAGAATCAGCCCTCGCAAAAACAGAGCTAAATTTTGTTCAAATTGAGCGAAATGAGGCATGGCTCAAATGCATGATCTGTTTGGTATTTTGAAAAAAAAAAAGTATAAATATGCCTTATATAGGTATGGTCCTACACTATATTATTCAAATATAGCATGATAGGTCCACTTTAAGTAAGAGACTTCTCATTGATATTTATTTCCTTTCCTACATGCATTGCATTTGATGTTGAGCCAATGCAAAAGTAACAGAAAGTAATGTTACAAAACTTTTATATTTTTATAATCAGATTAGATTACGGAGTTTTTTTACAGGTTACTAGAAATTGTAACAGACTACATTACATGTCGAGTAACAATTCCAACCCTGAACACAACATTGCTCAACAACATGTCGTGTGATTGTCTCCATCAGTCTGGACAGGGATGGTTCATCTTTAATACATCTGTTTTTTTAGCTGATGGTAAAAACAACTTTTTCCCCCAAGCCCAGCACTGTTGCAGATTAAATGTCAGCAGGTTGACAGACTGGAGCCGGCTGAGTGACGAGCTGTGAGAATAAACAATGAGAGCCGAACAGTGGAGGGGCGGCAATGTCACAAAGTGTAGTTTTGGATATGATGCAAAGTAAAACCAGGGCGAGTGTCATCAATACTAATATATGTTATTATTAAAGGCGCCTAATGTATTATCTCGTAGATGAGAGCCATTTGTCATGATTTATGAGGTGAATTAACACTAAAGGCATCCTTATACATCTTCATTACCACTAAATAAATGATCTTTATTATTCTTTGTTAATAACCAGATGCAGGTTCAAACAGAGCACAATGGAAATGTTATATTTGTGATGCGTTCAACAAAAGCAGAGATGGAGGCTTGGGAGCGTAGGCTATATGGCAGCACTATTTACATGACAGGAAAGTGACTAAAAAAGGACTTATTCTATATACTTTGGTATCAAACCACACCTACTAGAAGCCTTTGGCATGTCTGTACACCTGAAATATGTTATCTATCTATCCATCCATCCATCCATCCATCCATCCATCCATCTATCCATCCATCTATCCATCCATCTATCTATCTATCCATCCATCTATTTACCTATCTATCTATCTATCTATCTATCTATCTATCTATCTATCTATCCATCCATCCATCCATCCATCTACCTACCTACCTATCTATCTATCTATCTATCTATCTATCTATCTATCCATCTATCTATCTATCCATCCATCCATCCATCTACCTACCTATCTATCCATCCATCCATCTATCTATCTATCCATCCATCCATCCATCCATCCATCCATCCATCTACCTACCTATCTATCTATCTATCTATCTATCTATCTATCTATCTATCTATCCATCTATCTATCTATCCATCCATCCATCCATCTACCTACCTATCTATCTATCTATCTATCTATCTATCCATCCATCCATCCATCCATCCATCCATCTATCTATCCATCCATCCATCTATCTATCCATCCATCCATCTATCCATCTATCTATCCATCCATCCATCCATCCATCTATCTATCTATCTATATATCTATCTATCTATTGATCTGTCTCCTGATTGATTGCCATTCATTTTGTTTACACATCCACGTTACCCTCACGAAGTGTTGTAATAACTTTAGTAAATCCTTGACTTTCATCTAGCGCCAAAATGAGTCCAATACTTTGTTTATGATCAAGTATCTGCAGAACTAATGTCTTTCTCATCAGGCTCAGCATGCTAAATAGGCCCCTTAAAAATGCAAAATGGGATAATGAACATGGCGAACTTCAGAAAACACAAGCACAGAGCCGCTAGCTTGGCTTCTGAAGCAGAAATGAAAGCTATAAGAAGCTGGAAAGATAAAAGAAGAGAGCATTGGTCAACATCATCTTTAATGGAGCGCGTTGTAATTGCGCACAGTACATCATCATTAATGAAGAATGATGAAAGACACCCTCATTCAGAGATAAGAGTGAGTCACAGAGGCTGGAGGAACAGCAACCAGGATGTGACGTCAGGTCTTTTGCTCTTCACAAGGACAAAGAAAAGTTCAGAAAGCCTCGCTCTCCCTCTCAGATTAGAGGTGACACATCAGCACCTCTCCGCCTCGTCACTCATCTGCAATCAATAAGGCGGGGAAGAGCAGCCAGAAGACGCCTGAAAGGAAGGCGGGACCTTTGGCTCCTTCCCACTCCTTCCCTCTGCCCTCCGTAATGTCACATCCTGTTTGTTACTCTTACAGCTGAGAATAAAGCCTCTCCGAGAGAAGAGAGAGCCCCTATTCGAGAAAATTCCCCAGACGGAGAGAGCCACTCTGCATCCCTGCCTCCTTCTCTCCTTAAAGCCTTGTCCCTCACTTTTATCTCGCTCTTTGCTCCCTCCCCCTCCCCCAAACATCTTTCCTCTCCACTCTCTCGCACCCACTTCTCCATCCTCCGCCTCACCACTTCACAAGCTCTTGAAGCCTCTCTCTTTTCCCCGCCTCCCGCTATCTCGCTCGTTCCATCAGACATCAGCTGTTTTTTCCCAAGAAGTGTTTTATTTAGAGCAGATTAATTAATTAGATACAGTATCAGAGTAGGGCCCCTTCTTAGCGCTGGTCCATCAAGGCCCAGAGGCTAATAGGGTGGCAGAAATTGGTGTGTGTGCATCAATAAGCTGTGTGTATTTTTAAGATTTGCAGGTGCACGTTGTGTATCTGCACCAATGTGCGCTAATTGGACTCGTCAACAAAGGTCTTCAGAGTATCGGAGATGTGTGTGTGTGCTTGCATACATGTGTGTGTGGGTGTATTCGTGCCAGATTGTTATATAAGACGCAATAACTTCCTCTATCTCATCAGGCTGGTAACAGGGTTGTGTGTGTTGGTATAAAACCACTGTGTTTCATTAGCGATTCCCTTATAACACCCTCCTCTCGTCCCTTTCTCCCTCTCTTCCCTCCAGGGACGAGTTCTCACACTAAGTACAGAGCGGCGAGCGATGAGGAAGAAAGAGAAGAGGTGCTTGTCCAATCAGCGATGCAGATGGCCACGGAAAACATGAGCACCAGCCAATCTGGCACCAGGACCGTTTCCTTTTGCCAATTCATACACAACAAATCAAATGCGACCCCCTAATTAAACAATTGATACAGTTTACCTAGAGACACATCCTGCCAATGAAGTGATACGAACCACTCCTGCTACTTACAAATTCCTTACTTTTATGACAAGACAAGCTAGACACATTTTACCATGCTGTGGCTTCACTTCAAGCAGCAAATCTGAAAAAAAGCCAACCACTCAGTGACATATTACTGTACAAACAAGCCCTAACTCCTATTCAAATGGCTCTAGCCTGTGTGAGTAAATGTTAGATGGCAAGCACCTCTGCTCGGCTTTCTCCAATGGATATTGTGACGACATCCCAAATGGCCCAGAAGACGGGAAAGGGACGGCAGAGACACAACGTGACCGGAGGCTCTTCTTCGGTGGTCCTGTCCACCGCCGGCTCCTTCCTCTGTTGGCTCGCCCTGCTGTCAATTATGCGGTTGCCAATGGTAACAGCCGACTGCTGGCTCATCGAAGGCGAGAAAGGCTTCGTGTGGCTCGCTATCTGCAGCATGAACCAGCCGCCTTACGAGGCCATCCCCTCGCACATTAACAGGTGAGGACAATCAATCAATCAATCAATCCATAAATCACTGCTTTTCATTAGGATGACAATAGGTGCAAAAAACCATGAAGACACACACTCAAAAAACCATGAAGACACACACTCAGAACAGCAAGAAACATGCAAGTATAAGCCCTTCAAATAAGCCAAGCCATTGTGAGTGCTAGTGCATGGTTTTCTAAGGCAATTAAACCCTTTAAGGACTACTTTTCTTAAGTATAATAGCAAAGGTGTGGCGAAACAGATGGATCAAATTGTATTTTTATAGCCCTATATCACAAATTACACATTTCCCTCTGGGGGCTTTACAGATGCCCTTTGTCCTTAGACCATTGGAGCGGAGCGTACAAGGAAAAGCTCCCAATGAAAACCCCTCAATTAACTGGGGAATAAATGAAAGAAACCTCGGGGAGAGCAACAGAGTGATCTCTCTCCCTGGCCTGGATGGAGAGAGGTGCAAGAAACGTAATAAAATGCAGACAATCTGATATCAAAAATGATATGTCAACATGTATGAAAAAGAAAGGATCTAAGAGGTCGTCCAAATGCTTCTCGTGCCGCCAAAAATATGAGGTATTTATGAGGTGACTTTATCATTAAATGCATCTGCAATCTCAGGGCCAGCATCATCAATACTAATAGTCTGTATTATGAAAAGTGCATCATGTCTTATCTTGTAGAGAGGAGCCATGTGTCATGATTTATGAGGTGAGTCTATCATTAAAGGCGTCCTAATACGTCTCCATTACCTCCAAATGAATTCCCAAACAATACGCGTTTCTCTTCTTCTACTCTATTCTCTGTAATCAAATGCACGTTTAAACACAGGACAGTATGAATGGTATATTTACAGCAGAGATTCAAAGATAACAATAAGAAGAGGGCTTGTGTTTCTTTATCAATACATAATGTAAAAAAGTGGGCGACAGACAGGAACACAGCAACAGGTGCAGCTATGACTCATGATCCAGACGCAATTCATTAGTGGCTATATGCAAATGAAGCCACAAACACTCTGGTTACGATGCTCTGGATGTTGGGTTAAAAGACAGTTAAGAAAAATAGTTTTGACTATGTTTTTTTGCCTCAAACATCTTCAGCTTTTACTCTTCTCTCAACAGCACTATTGTGGATCTGCGGCTGAACGAGAACAAGATTCGGTCGGTGCATTTTTCCTCACTCAGCCGCTTTGGAAACCTCACCTATCTGAACCTCACCAAGAACGATATCAGCTACGTGGAAGACGGAGCCTTCTCATCACAATTCAACCTGCAGGTGAGCAATCATGTAATGCACCTTCAAACACATGGATGCACTTGTTAGTGTATGTACCCAAATCGAGGAGAGTGCAAGCGCTGTGTTCCGGTCGATGTTGAAGTATACTTTACTCTTCTACTACAATACATTTCAGGGGAATATTTTTACCCATTTACATGTATTTGAGAATGATAGTGTTGGGATATGGATAAGTATAGATCATGTTACAAAAAACATAATCCACTATCAGAGATCTAACCACCCGGCTGTATGTAAAGGAATTCAAATGTGCTGTTGAATGTTCAAATGCATACACATGAATGCAAATGCAGGCTACAAATCTTAATATTTAATAGACTGAACTGTATTTATTATTATTTCTTGGTATCATTTTTGGTACCGACTGTAATGTTCCTGTACAGTTTTGAAGTCTGTCAAATGGCTGCTAAACTCCTAATCTTGTTTCATTACCCTTTAACCCTTTAGACGCTTTATTTGGTAAATGTAAATGTGTGGCTAATTAATTACATTTTCCATATTTAGGAACTTGCTTCCTTTTGGTAAATGAAAAAAAAAAAAATCTCAATCATTACTTTGTAAGGTTATCAAAAAACGAACTTTTTGGTACTGGTAGTTTCAAAATCTAAATGTATTTCATATTGAGTACTATTTTGCTGATAATATCCAGAACTGTGAATTAAAGGTGGGGTAGGTACGTTTGAGAAACCGGCTCGAGATACACTTTTTGTTATATTCCATGGAATGCTCTTAACATCCCGATAGCAATGAATATCTTAAGTGCTTTGACAAAAAATCCATAAAAAAATGTCATCTGTGGAAGCCGTAGTACTGTAAAAAGTACGACCAATCATCTGAGCCGGCCCGGCTAAAATAACTGGATGGCCTACCTGCCTGTCAGCCTTCCATCTGTGCACAAACTTATCTCGTGCCCTCATTGGTCATGTGCGCGTTCGTGTGTGTTGGAGGAGGGGCTCTGTAAGGAAGTGGCAGATTTTCTCCGGTTGTGTATTTTCAAATTCTAGCGATCTCGAGCCGGTTTCTCAAACTTACCTACCCCACCTTTAAGGGCTGTAGTCAAAGGGAGTATTTTAATACTGTGTTACAGATACCTTTCTGAGTAAAGGATCTAAAGTATTGCAGAATTAAACACACAGATGGAAACACAGACACACAAAAAAAGACAACATTGGCTCACTATAACTTCCAGAAAAACATTCAGGCAAAAGTGTTTTTGCAGAAACTGATCTGAACGCAGCCGTAATGAGCTGGCATGCGTACACATGTATCCCAGCTGCTGGAGCGTAGCCAGGAGGTAAAATGTGAACAAGAAAGATCTTAGTAAATGGAACACAGCATAGAGGCTTAGATCACCATGTGAAACACGAATTGTGCTGAACCGTCGTCTGTTTGTTCTGCATGTTTCCAGCTTGTCGTGTGTGATGCTTGGCGCTGGCCGGCTCTTCAGAGATTAGAATAATCCCACTTGTCTTTGTCTCTCCAGGTTCTCCAGATGGGTTTTAACAAGTTGAGGAACCTGACAGAGGGGATGCTGCGAGGTTTGGGGAAGCTGCAGTATCTCTACCTGCAAGCCAACCTCATCGAGAGTGTTACACCCAACACCTTCTGGGAATGCCCCAACATCGAGAACATCGACCTCTCCATGAACAGGTATCACCCTGAGGCGTGTGCGTCTAATGAGAGAGAGAGAGAAAACATGATGTGAAGCACTTAGTGGATGATTAGCCAATTAGAAAACTGACGTGAAGAGACATTTTAATTATGGTTTAATGAAAGCGGTTTTCAAGATTTGTTTGAAGATCTGGTTTAATACTGATGCAAGGGTTTGTTTCTTTTTTTATTATTTGGATAAAACAAGCAATTTAACAAAGGCCATTTTACAGGCATTTATTAGCAGTAGCTTTAAACTCTCGCATTTCCTTGTTTTATGATTCGAGATATGAAACAAAGTAGACGCAAAATTAAAATTAAAAAGGCTACTCGCAATCTGACTCTCTCATGTTTCTAGGTTTATGATTTGCCGTTCATCGGTGTGTGAATCGTACTAGACAAAAAGAGAGTTTAAAAATTCCTAGATAGGAGAATATATTACGTTTTTCAATGTTTAATATTGTACTTTCTGTCAAGATCAAGGGCTGCTTTCTAAATGTATTAATTTCGCGCGGATGTTTTGCAGACTTACTAGGAAAAAAGTTTTGCATAGATAACTTGTTTCTCACTGACAGTATTATCAGTAAACTAAATATAACAATAACACATTGTATTCATATAGCACTACCCAAAGGCATATATATGTAAAAACAGCCAAACCTACTAGGAAAAAAGCATAGCAGAAGGTGCAGAGATAACACAATTCTCACTTTTTCCCCAGTAAGCTCTGATGCACCAAGCCATCTTTTCAATATAGGTTGAGATACTTATTCTCAGTGGGAATAACCGTTTTGTTCTTACTATCAGCACCGTAACTGGTATTGATCCCTTGACTTAAATGTAAAAGTAACAGCAGAATGGAAGAAGTTTAACTCCTCTTTGGGGCTTGTTGAAAGGTACTCTGGGAAATGTTTAAGACTAGAAACTGAAGTACAAGGAGACTGAGTAACAAGTGCTTTTAAAGGGGAAGCCTGCAGATATAACACATCAAAGTCTGTTTACATGTTTTAAGGATTACTACAGCATAGGTTTGAAAACAGTAACAAAATATATATAAATCCTTCTGTGGCCCTGAGCTCAGTTTTAGAAACTCTGATATATTATAAGTGATGCTGTTTTGTGGCCTGATCCTCACCTATGTGTGATGCTTCATTAGGTACTAGCAAAACAAATCAAAAATATCTTGCTGTGTCTCAAATTGCTTTCTTTTGTACCTACATTTGCTGTTTTGAGTGCATAACTATATCCCATGGCAGCATGTGGCAAAATGCACCATTAGTATCTAGATTGTGCACTCAAAATATCAAAAAGTATGCAACCACTCTCAAAAAACGCCCTTTTTGGCTAAATAACAGAAGTTAGGCGACGTACAGCAAATTAGTCTGCTCCAGTAAAAACATCACTATGCAAATTAATATGTCTTTCACTTTTAAAGTAACACCACTATATTGGTCCTGAAAATAAACCACCGTTACATTTATTGGCAGTGTATAATATTTTGGTACCGCGAACAATCATTGCTAGCTAGCTAACAGCAGCAATCGCCACTTCCTGTTGGTTAAAGCAGCCCCATGTGATTTAAAACAACATTACATTGTCCCAATGCACGTATTGCACAAGTGTTTACAGTTCACAACATGCAATGTACCAACAGAAGTATCTAAATGAGACACAGCGTCCGACTGAGCTACTGGTGATTGAGTTGCATTATGGGTAATGTAGGAACCAGGGTTTAAAATAGGGAGAAGAGTACATAGACACTGATTTACTTTGTATGTTATCCATCATGAGTCAGACAGTGTTGGAGCCAGGGGCGGACTGGGACTAATAATCAGCCCGGGCATCTCGACCGGCCCACTTCGGTACCGCTAGTAAATTGTCAAGGGGGGGGGGGGAGGGTGCTAGTGACTTATCCGACCGGCCTACTTCGGTACCGGCCCATCGGGATTATGCTATGTGCATGTTTACAAAGGTAAAACCCACCTTTTTAATCTATGATGTTCCCTCTGTCTCTTTACAGGATCCAGGTGCTAGATGGCAGTTTGTTCTCCGGTCTCCCGAAGCTGACGACTTGTGAACTTTACACAAACCCCTTCAACTGCTCTTGTGAGCTGCTGGGGTTCCTGCGCTGGCTCTCAGCCTTCCCCAACAGGACCAGCGAGAGGATGGTGTGCGACTCGCCTCAAGGATTCTTCGGCTACAACCTCCTGAGCCAGAACCCCCGAATGCCGACCCAACGCAACGCCTTGCACGTGCTCGGTCTTGTCTGCATGGATGATGGTAGCGTGACGCCCTTTTACCCGATTGGTGCGGCAGATTCCACCACCCCTTTACCAGATTTTGCCTCTCCCTGTGGATTGGACGATTGTGCTTCCGGGACCCCTCCTGACGAGGTGATCAGCTTGGGCCCTCTTTACACCGACACCAATCCCATCATGACGCTGAAGCATGTGCAACATTCGACCGCCGTGATCACGGTTCAGATTCCTCATCCGTACAAGAAAATGTACATCCTGGTTCTTTATAACAACAGCTTCTTCACAGATATCCAGAATCTGAAAAGTCAAAGGGAAGATATTGAGCTCAAGAACTTAAAACCCAACACCGACTACAGGTACTGTGTGGCTTCGATACGAAACTCCCTTCGATTCAACCACACCTGTCTGACCATCTCCACTGGACGCCGGGCCGGGCCTGAGAGGAGAGCCAATCAGTCGTCAGCCACCCACTACATCATGACTATCCTGGGCTGCTTGTTTGGCATGTTAATCTTCCTGGGTTTTATTGTTCACTGCCTGAGGAAGAAGAGGATCATGCAGGCGAAGGAGAGGAAGATGAGCAGGATCCAAAGGACTCTGATAGAGCTCAAGTACGGTGGAGAAGGGGATATAGAGGGAGGAAATGGAGGATCTGTTTCCCAAAAGCTGGGAGCTGGGGAAAGTCTGTCCAGAATGCCCTACCTTCCTCAGGGCGCTGAGATTGATCCGTACAAGCTGCAGGAGGTGATAGAAACACCGGTGCACAAGCCTGCTAAACTGAACTACATGGATGTGAGAGGATCCGGGATGGAGAGGGAGAGGGAGAGGGAGAGGGAGAGGGAGAGGGAACGAGAGCGAGAAAGGGAGATGTCACCACAGGAAAATCCCCAGGGCTCAGTAGCAGAGATCTCAACCATCGCTAAAGAAGTTGATAAAGTCAACCAGATCATCAACAACTGTATAGATGCTCTCAAATCTGAGTCTACCTCCTTTCAACAGGGCATGAAATCCCCTTCAAACGCAGGCGGAGGGGCTGTTTCTACCGCAGAGCCTCAGCTGGTGCTCCTCTCTGAGCAAGGAGAGAGAGAAAGAGGAAACGAGTTCCTCTCCCCGGTGTATAAGGGAGGCAGAGGAGGGAGAGAGGAGAGGGGGAGAAGCTATCATCATTCTCTGCAGCGACACCACAGCATGGAGGCACCTCCGACCTCCAAAAGGCCCAGCACCTCCTCTTCTCCCGGTTCTGCCCGGAGCCCTCGCTCGTTCCGCTCAGAGGGAGGCTACCACTCGTCAGAGACCCGCTACATCGAGAGGACCTCGCCCGGGGAAAGGGGAGAGAGGGGGGAAAGAGGGGAAAGAGGGGAAAGAGGGGAAAGAGGGGAAAGAGGGGGAGGCGGAGGAGGAGGAGGAGGAGAGGCCATTCGTACGGTCAACCCAGCAGCGGCCATCTTACGAGCTGAAGCCCAGAGGATCCGCCAGTACAACGAACACCGTCACTCTTACCCCGGCTCCCAGCAGCACCTCCAGGACCTGCAGCACCACCCTCAGATCCTGCAGGAGCTCCACCACCACCCCGGGGGCCGCAAGCCCTCCATGTTAGACCCCATCACCCTCAGCAGGCAGGCCAAGCAACGGGAGCTGGCCTACTCCCAACTCTCGCCACACTACCCGCTCTCGCCCCAGTACCACAACCTCAGCTATTGCTCCAGCCCCGACGAAGACGAGGAGGACGAAGGGCTCCTGTGCACCCCCACCCTGGGGCTTTGGGAGAGGTTCAAGCTGCACCGCAAGAGGCACCGGCAGGCGTCCATGGAGGACGAGGGATACGTGGCAGCAGGACACGCGCTGAGGCGGAAAGTTCAGTTCGCCAAGGATGAGGATCTTCACGACATTCTGGACTACTGGAAGGGTGTGTCCGCCCAGCAGAAGACCTGATCTGGAGACGCCTAACACTTGGAGGATGGAGAATAACAACACTGCACCCATAACATATTGATACAGATACAAAGATAACCTGTAAATACACACAAACACACACAGCTTACAGGATCTAGACGTACACTTATATACACACACATTTTACACAAACCAAGCCTTTGCTTCTGAGGAACATGAAGGAGGACCAAACTAATATATTATATTGAAAATCATAACTTATAGAGAGACTGGGTTACTTTTTGTAATGTAACACACATTATAGCTCAGACTTATGTAGCTATTTGTACTAAGTTTTGAATGAAGAAAAAAATTATCAACATAAGAGCAGAAACCTTAAATGCTGCCGGGCAACCCATCCTGAACACGGCTACGCTTTTAATCTGCCTTGAGACCGACATTGATTAAAACCCGACCACGGCAGATTAACCTCACCAATTCTTATTACCGCCGTGGATTGATTGAAGATTTTGCTTTTACCCAAGGAGGTTGTTTTTGGCATTGCGCCCTGCGATCTAAATGACAATTTCTGGATGGGTCGCCAGGCAACAGTAATATTCAACTGTGCTGAGAATGAGTAGGTAGCTCTCGCCAGAGAGAGAGAGAGAGAGAGAGAGTATAATGTGCCAAATCAAACAAAGGAGGATAGTAGAGCCCTACTGTGTACCAACTTCTCCTCGCCACTGTTTTTATATACAGAATTTAAAAAACCTAGAATGATATGTTATTACTATTAATTATTCTTATTACATTACTGGTCTTCTTATTATTCCTATGCTCCTCATCATTAATGATTATATTATTTGAATATGGCATGGCTCTGTCGTGTGACTGTGTTTTGACTGTTTTGAACCTCTCCGCTGAGAAGGGCACACCAACAGAGACAAACAGTTTGATGGACGAGACATTTGACTCCTTTTTCTACCAAGAGGAATGTGCTCTCTGCTGAGCCAATCACAAGCCCGTCTTTTTCTCTTGGTGAACCCCCCGCTACCCCCGCTCCTCATCCTCCTGAAGAGGGAACGCTGTACAGATGAGAGAGAGAAGATCTATATTTGCAACAGAGGTGACTGTTTTGTTTGTACATCATGGTTTTGAAATCTTTGAGACTTTTCAGAAATCTGAAGTATCCCAAGTTAGTTACCTACCTGCTCCCTTACAACGGTACGTTTTTGATTTTGAAATCGAACAAAAAAAATTCTAATCTTCAAATGAATGTCTTTAATTCCCAGAGGGGAAACATATCTGCACTGTTCAAAATCAGAAAACGACTCTTAAGGAAAAGACCTAAAACTCTCAGCTTCCTTCCCGTTACACTGTAGCTCCACTGCGTTTTATCAACCATTTATTTTTCCCCTCCTCCCGCTCTCCCAGGTTAACTTTTTATTTGTTCCTCTGGTTCCACTGTGGTGCCAACTTGGTAAATCACAAAGAAGTATTTGAAATGATTTTGAATACTACTCTTTACAGACCTCTTCTTCGTCTCATCGACACACATCAGTTTGCGAGAACAATAACAATTTGCACAAAGCGATCCATTGGCTCACTGCTCCCCTTCTATCCTCCAATCATCTAAGACCAAAGTACTGTGGTAGTAAATTGACCCTTACGGCTCCTGACCCGGCCCCAGCTATTTACCCACCATCGCCCTTACAGTGACAACTCTAGCACATGCATACACAACCACAACCATACACAGATGAATGTATTCTTAGAGAAATGAATGCTGTTTAGCAGCTGGGTTTTCTGTTACTAATGTAAGAGCTGTATTTCAAACAGTGTCCTCATCTGTCTGTTAGACAACTTTCTTCAGATGGCCACTTGTATTTCAGAATTGGACATAAATAGGGAACATTTGGCTTTCCAAACGTCTAAATATGGCCACTCTGGGCAGATTATCATGGACAACTTTCCAGTTTCTGCCACCAATTGGACCAAATGTCTAAAAGAAGCCCAAAATAACCAATGCAGACGACTACTGAGGTAATAGCAATGGGGTTTTGCCTTATCAAAGGTTTTCAATGGGAAAAAGTTCCTGATATTAGAGCTGTTGTAGTTATATGTGATAAGCATCACTAGCGTGTTGATATGAGACTACATGTATAGCTGCAATATCTGCAGGATCTAAATACTGGAGGCTGAAAAGAGGAGAAAAATGTGATAACAAAAATACTGATGTTTTTTCTATACAGAACTGTGATTCAGAAACTCATTTTAGAGGACTGTAAAACCAGGGATGGAGTCAACAACATTTCAATTCAGTGGATTTTGAATATAACAAGCTTGTAGGATTCAAAGTATTGACAAACAATTTGTAATTACAAATGTTTATACTGACTGAATCTCATCCACAACGCTTTCTGGATTGAAACAGAATTGACTCCAACTTTGAAACACTGGAAACTACACAATGGAAACAACAAAGCTGGCAAACAATGACAAGTTTGTGGGTGAATGGAAACACTGTATAAAATCTCTTTTCTCTGCTATAATGAGTTCAGAATGCTCAAGTCATTAAGCCCAGTTAAAGCCATAATCGTGGGAAAGTGAAATAACCACAGCTGTTTGTAGCACTGCAAAAGCACATTCATTAGTGTGGTAAAAAAAAACAGTTTTCTCTCCCATACTGCAGCGGCTACAGTACATGGACACGGTTCCTCTGCAGCAAACACTCCAGCTCCCATCCAAGAGGAAACGGATGAGCTGTGTTTGTTTTCGCATTACGACGCGTCCCAGATTGTGGCTTTAACTTAACAACAGCCTTAAAACATTCGATTTTCTTTAATCTTTGAAAGCATTGCTTTGAAAATCGAAAAAAAATGTCCTGGTTTCTTAACTTATACTTTCATGTCTGCAATTTTATAATTGCTTGATTCTTAAGCCTCACTTGAGCATTCTTTGAGTAACAGTAATATCAATGTAGCGATGTATTAAAGTACTGTTTTTTGTTTTTTTTCTGTTCTGTTTATGAACAATAATGGCCTGATTTTATCATGTGTCAGAGGGTAGCAGACAACAACGACAACAAGCTGACAGTCGAGGCGACGGTCCAACCTGACCCTGATCAGCGATGCTATTCTTTGAACCGTGATGAAGAGAAACTGTGTTTTTAAACAACAATGCCTAGAAAGTGGAAATAAATAGAGGTCCTACTGACAACAGACAGAAATGACAATGGAGCATGATGCAAGGACATCCCCCGTGGAGGCTTGTGTTACATGCTTCTAGTGAATGACTCAGGAGCGAGAGAGAGAGAGAACGCTCTGCCATAGGATCTCTCAGAGGCTTTCTTTCTTTCTTTTCTTGTCAAAAAATTAAAATGAGCACAATAAAATAGCCTTTCTTTCACTGTCTCCTTTCCTGGAGAGATCATACATATGCCAGACATTTTAAACACACTCAGGACTTTCACATTTCAACATTTTCTGATTGGTTACTTTGGTTTGGAACATGCTTAAATGGTCAGTTCACCCAAACTCAACCAGGTTTCCGGTGGTACGGACAGTTTTGGTGGAACTTATTAAGGTTTTAAGATAGCCGCCGCTGAGATTTTTGCTTACACACCCAACACAACGCGGGGAGAACCCAATTGTTGTCATTTTAAAAATTCGACAGAATCATCTCTTTCCATGGCATTGTCCCAGTTAATGAGAACAATCCACACACACTGTCTAACGTTTTGAGAAAAAGAAGTGCCAAAAGTGTTGATTGTCCCTATCATTCCAAAGTAAAGGTATTATAGAGTAATAGGGATGCTTGTTTAGGAATGAAAAAAAGCCGGACAATAATCGAGTAATCCAGAACATGCTGGGGCTGTTTCTCAGTCATTAGCCTAGCTGTGGTTAAAGGTTTAATTTGGGTTAGGGTTAGGACACAATCATAAAATATGGTTGCCGTGTCCTTAGAAGATGTGTAAACTGCACTTGTGGTTTAGTCAGAACCTGGTAGCTGTGTCCTGTAGAAAACACATACACTGTCAAAGTAACTGTATCTGTAGACATGGTTTATCTGAGGTTTACGTTTATAAAGTTCAGTATACAGACAGATTTCTACTGCTTAAATCATTTATTGTTAATTTCTAAAATGTCTAATCTTTTACCATGTATGTTCTTTTAAAGGCAACACTATAACCAAGTGTGAAACTTATATAATTGTGTAATTACAATTAAAGCTGTTACTTTTTCCTCAGTTCATTATTGGCATCAGAAACACAGTCACTGATTATCTGACAAACACAACAGCTAGTTGTTAATGCATGCAGTGCCTACAAGGAGTTTGGCACTGTATAAATCATAGAAAAAAATTATCATATGTCTATTGCCATTCCCCCGCAGTTGGGGAACTAAATTAATCATCACTGTTGCATAGAGTCATCAACTCACTGTCGAGGGTGAGCATCTCAATAATTATAGAATGTTAATACAAACTCAATGCAGATCTCAATATTACTAGTGACAGTGTAGCTACACAGATACAATTATGATGATCATTTAATTGCCCCAGTGCATGCTAGGAAACTGTCTGACACACCTGTGTTGGGTTGCTTATAGAAACCTGGTTAGGAGTGATTTAGGTAAACGTGTGTTGAATTTGACTGAATCTAACATGTTAAGCTAAACCTGTGCTCAATTTGACTGAATCTACAACCCAGTCTCACGGCATTTCGTGTTATAGTCACAAAATTAATTTAATCTATTGATTCATGTTCACCAAAACGATTTTCGCATTTTTTTCGTGTCGCACAGAACAATTTTAAAAGCAATGTATTTATATTGGTAGTATGTTTCGTGCCTGCACCATGTCTTTTTGTCCGGTCGGGTCTTGGAAGACCAGAAGCTGTGTGGTTCATAAAAACATTTTCTTTCTCAATATCTTACCCTAAGCCTAATGCTGCGTTCACACCGGACGCGATGCGACTATTCGCTTCGCTCTAATCGCTCCTATCGCATCGCTCTAAACGCTGGAGGTTCACCGCGGCTGCCAGCTGTGTTTACTCGCATCATTCAAACAAGACGCGCTGGCTCGGGAGCTACAACTACAACAAATGAACATATTTTACCGTGATTAAATTGTAATACACGTTTCTAAATGATGCCGAAGTAACAACATACTGATACCGGTTAGTAACAACCATGAATTAATGCTTTGACAAGTCTGCAGACAAGACGGCAGGCAAAACACCTTTTAAAATGCTTGTTTTCTGAATGAAGATCGGGTCAACCAGGCTAAGCTAACGTTGTATATGCTCATTCCACACTCATAACAACGGCCTACAGACATAAATAAGCAGCGACTGTATTCACCATGACACAGACAGTCTGTGGTTTGTACTTGTTTAACTTTTGTCCAGTTTCTGAACGGATATGAGGAGCTGTGAGCTCTGTGTGCTAACTGCTAACAGCTAACGGCTGATGTTGTGTGGTTGAACGTCAGTGACGGCGGCTGAGATCCTCACCGCTGATTGGCTTCCGCGAGAACGCGTCACGTGAATTTGACGCTCGAGTTGAAAAAATTGAACTCTCGCGTTTAACGCGGCACCGTTCAATCGCCTCAATCGTGTGATTCGCGCTGCGTCCACCGCTTCATGCGCGCCGTCGGAGCGAATTCGCGTCTGTCCACGTCTCTGCATTGACTTTACATGTAATCGCGCCGCCCCCAAACGTCGCATCGCGTCCGGTGTGAACACAGCATTACCCTATCCCTTTTATTTTAAATTGTATAATGTCTGAGTTTTTTTGCCGTCCGCGAGGAAAAGAAATGGCTCAGAGCCTCAGAATACTGAAATCTGTACTTTTTGTCATCTTTTTTTCCTTCTAATTTGTTATTATTTGGTGCAGGCGCGAAACATACTACCAATAGAAATACATTGCTTCTAAAATCGTTCTGTGTCAGAATACTGAAATCTGTATTTTTTTTAATCTGTTTTTTCTTCTAATTTGTTATTATTTACATTGCTTTTAAAATAGTTCTGTGACACGAAAAAAAAATTGCGA